AACAAAAACAAAAGACAAAAAACCCATAGCTCTCCTGCTCACTCTGTGTATGTGCACAAGTATAAACAAACCAAATCTTTAGATTTATACATATGAGTGTTGTGGTTTGTCACGTACATACCTGGTGCCCAAGGTCAGGAGTCTGATTCCCTGGAACTGGAGCCACTGTGTGTGTGCTGGGAATCAAACCCAGATCCTCTGCAAGAGCTACAAGTGCTCTTAGCCAAGGAAGCTACCTCTCCATGGCTCCAGCCATTTTCTTTCTTTCATATTTAAATTTGTATTATTTTGTGTGAGTATGGTCTTTGTGCACCGCAGTGCCTACGCAGAGATCAGAGAGAACCTTCTCAAAGTTGGTTTTCTCCCTCAGCTGTGTAGATCTGGTGAGGACACTCAGGTTCTCAGGCCTGCGAAGCACTTTTCACCTGTGATGGCCCTTTTAATCAGACTCTGAGTGGTCTCCAACCCCCAAGATACGGAGTGAGGTTGGTCCTTACCTGTGTGAGAAATGCAGGCTTGCTCTTTCCATGTTCTTTCAAGGCTCTGAGTCCACGCAGGGCTCCTAACATTCAGAACCCACTTCCAGCTGAGGCACACAAGCCATGAGCTTCCATCAGAATACAGTACCACTGCCTCTTAAGATTCATGGAAACAAACGATGCCTCCACGCGATGGTTTGAAAAATGGCCCCAAAGGGTGTAGCACTATCAGGATATATGGTCTTGTTGGAGGGTGGGGGTGAGCTCTGAGGTCTCCTATGCTCAAGCTACACTCAGTGACACAGACCACTTCCTGCTGCTTGCAGATCAAGGTTAGGGCTCTCAGCTCCTCTAACACCATGTCTGCCTGGATACCGCCCTGTTCCACCATGATGTTAATTAATGGACTGGGCCTCTGAAACTGTAAGCCACCCAATTAAACGTTTTCTTTTGTAAGAGTTGCCATGGTCATGGTGTCTCTTCACAGCAATAGCAACCCTATCTAAAACACTGCATTTCTCACAGGAGTGGATATTTAGATTCCAGATGCTTTGTGCTGCTGGCATGACTGGTCATTCATCTTTTGTTTTTTTTGTTTGTTGTTTTTTTCGAGACAGGTTCTTGCTACCTATGTGGTCTGACTGGCCTTGAACTGAAGTTGATCCTCCTGCCTGTCTCTTTAGTGTTGGGATTATAGGGTGCACTACCACACCTGGCCCCACCTCTTAGCTGTTCCTTCTGAAGACAATGGCAAGCTGTGGCTTTTCCTACCACCAAACTGATGGTGTGGTTATTTATTTGTGTGACCCCAGGAGTCCATTCTCTCCTTCTACCAAGTGGATTCCAGAGATGAAACTCAAGTCATCAGGCTTGTATCTTCACCTGCTGAACCACAGTACCAGACCCCTATCATGTATTTATTCACAGCTTAGAAATGGAAATGTTTGTAGTTTCAGGACAGAGACAGAAGGAGGGCGCATACCACATAATGAAAGCAGTAGTGCATTTTCCATCAGTGTGGCTGTGTAGCAATCCCTTTCTCTTCCTCCCCACTTTCAAAATGCTCACCACATAGCCGTGGCTATCCTGAAACTATGGGATTAAAGGCATGGGCCACCACCAACCACCGGGCTTGTTCTTTTTTCTTTCTTTTTTTCTTTTAAGGCAATGTGTCATTATGTATCCCGTGCTGGCCTTGAACCCACAGCAATCCTCTTGGCTCAACTTCCTCAGAGCTGAGTGTACAGGCATGCATCATGTCCAGCTTTGGGTTATTCAGAATACAGGCTGCTGATAAATGTGTTTTCATTAGGAGAGGACAAGAGGAAGTATGTTGTGTGTTTGGTACAAATGCAGTTTTTTTGCTTAACTACAGATCCATAACATAGAACCATGAACAGTGGTTAGAAACAGCTGGCTGCTACGCTGTTAAAGGTGTGGCTCTGCTATAACCCATGCTGCCTTGTTACGAACAGACAGCATTAAGTTTCAAAGTGTCTTGGCATCTATGAACCAGTGCACAGGCTTCCATATCCCGTGTTCCTTGGAAGAAAACGAGTACCACTAGGCTCATGCGTTCTTTATTCATTTGACAGAAATAGAAAGAAAATCTGCAATCATTTATCAAAATTTTATCTTACCAAGAGTTTGAAAGGTATTTATTTAAAAAGTTGCATTCACAGTCTGTTATGTAAAAAGTAGTAGTACCCATAGGAAGCCAGGCAACCCTCACCCTGGCATTTGGCATTCTGCATTGGCCTTCATTCGCCAAGTATGCATTTGAATAGAAACTTTTTCAGGGAAATCCTTCCTGCTCAGCAGGCCAAGTTCAAGCTACACTCCAGGCCCAGAGGGAGCTCCTGCATCCCAGAGAGGCACACTGCTGCCCCACACTCCTGGAAATGGCTTTGACATTCAAAAAAGGGTTCATTTCAGCACCAGGGTGTGCTTTGCAATATGCAGATTGGGGTTTCCTATCAGGATTAGTGGACTGAAGAGGTGCAGAAGACCCTGAGATGTGACAGTCTGTGGGTATCTAGCTGGCAATGAGGGCTGGCAAAAACTAAAACCAGTGTTTTGTTTTGTTTCAGTGCCCATGGTTGTATAATCTAAAGACAGAATACCCCAGGATTGTTTGTAGATTCTTACTTATTAAGGTACAACATTATTTCCATCCTAATGATGAAAGCTAATATCCAGTTTCCAAGCTATCCTCAAACTCAGCAATAAGGACCTACTGGAAGTGAGGAGGGGTGGGTCAGGCTGTTCTGCATAGACCACCCTAAGGCTCATTTAGAGAGGGGCTCGGGCTGGGCAGTGGTGGTGCAAGCCTTCAATCTGTGTGGGCTCTGGGGTTGTAGCTCGATTGGTAGCAAGCACACAACCCAGGTTCGATCCCCAGCAGAGTAAATTGGGCATAGTGGTGCATGTGGATAATTCCAGCTCTTGGCAGTCAGAAGTTCAAGATCATCCTCAGCTACATAATGAGTCTGAGGATAGCCTGGGATTTTCTTTCAGACAGGGAAAAAGAAAGGGGAAGAGGAAGGAACAGGAAATGGAAGGGAAAAGGGGAGGGAGGAACGGGAGAGGACAAGCAGGGCTCTGACTCATCTTTGCAGCCTTAGCCTCCTGTACCATGCCAAGCACACAAGAGAATGAACAAAGCCCGCTTCTCAGCTTTTCTTCCAGGGTTAGGTCACAAACGGTCACAAATGCAAAGCCTGACTCTGGAGACCACAGACGGAGATGTCTTTTTGAAGCCTGATCAAGAATGGCGTTGGTGGTGCACGCCTTTAATCCCAGCACTCGGGAGGCAGAGGCAGATCTCTGAGTTTGAGAGTCCAGCCTGGTCTACAGAGCGAGTTCCAGGACAGGTTCCAAGGCAATACAGAGAAACCCTGTCTTGAAAAATCAAAAAGAATGTACATAGGGCCAGCAAGATAGCTCAGTGGGTAAAAACACATGCCTCCAAGCCTGAGGATCTGAGTTTAATTCCTGGAATGGTGGTGGTGGTGGGAGAGAACCAACTGCTGTTATTGTTATCTGCATTTGAACTCATGAGCAGGCACATGCTCCATGCCTACACATAAAGTAAATAAATGTGATATATAATATATATACACAAACTCAGCATGGCGGCACATGCCTGTGATCCCCAGTACTTGTAAGGTGAAGGCAGGGGGATAATAAATTTGGGTCTAACCTGTGCTACACTGGAGACCCTATCATGTACATTTGCTTAGGACCACAGACAGGACAAGCAGGAAACACTTGGGCACCTTTCACAAAAGGACACTAAGCTTCCAAGTGAAGTTTGAAAGTGAAACTGTCCTTTTGGGGTTTTGTTCCTTTGTGGTAAAGACAAAGATTGCTTTTGGCTGTTGTCCTTTGTGCCATTTTTTTTTTTTCTCCTGGAGAAATAGGGAGTGAAAGCTGTGCCCCTAGGACTCCTCTAACACAGCAGGATCAAAAACAGGAAGGAGCCCTTCCTCTCCGGCCAACCCCTGCACGGCTCTCATTCGCCGTGCTGCCCATAAAAGCCCTGTCCTGTAGGCCTCAGACCCGAGCCCTGAAGTTACTGCTTTTCTCCCACTATTTTTCCATCAAGCGGGTTGGATTCAGTGGCTTTGTCCCAGGTGCTGCTTGGCTGTCGGCCACTCCACTCCGGGACTTAAACACACGCACACCCATATACTCGGAGCCTTCCTTTTCTATACAGGGCCTTCCATTGGCCTAGACCTCGATGAGGCTATGCTAGCTGGCCAGCAAGCCCAGGGATCCACCTGTCTCCACTTCACCAGTGAGGGGCTAAGGTCAAATTCTTACTAGGATCATCCCAGGCTGAGTGAGGTGTAGCTCATTAGTGGAACATTTGCTAGTATGTCCCAAACCCCAGGTGTGATCAACAGTAACACACACGCATACACCCCAGTGTGGCCCAAAATAAATACTCTAAATTCTAAAGAGAAAGCCAAACTGGTTCATAACCGATTCATACACAGGCTAGTCTGGGAGAGAACCAACAGGCCTTTCTTGGGCCACAGTTGTTTCTCAGGTGATCTCCTAGCTGAGGCGACTGCCACATGCGTGTGGGACCCCTGTAGCCTCGGCAACATGGCCACTGCCCATTTCACACAGTGATGCGGAGATGAGGGAAGAGGCAGACACGAAGTCACCAGGCGCCCTTCACACCCGCACCCGCCTGTGGGTGAGCACACGGGCCCATGGCTGTGGGAGGCCCCTGCTCTTGGCAGCTGCTTTAGTCCAGACTCCAGCTTCTCCCACAGCTTTTCTCCAAACCCTTGTTTTGTTACAGACAATTGGTTCATGAACTGACAAACTCCAGCATTGGACATTAATTCAAATTCTGTAGTTTTATTTTTTTAATTTTTCCAATGCTGGGGATTGAACCCAGGTCTTGCTAGACAAACAATCTACCACTGAATTCTACCCCAGGCCCTAGTTTCAATTCTGACCCTGACAGTGGGTTGCAGTGACAAAAGAAAAACCAGGACAGAGTGCTTCACCAGCCACTTTTCACTTTAATTCTTTGGGCACACATCCTATTTGCCCCCGACAGCTAGGCGGCAGCACTGAGTTGACACAGTATTTGCATCCTATGAGGCTGAGACCCTGCATTACCAGGGTCACTTGCTACCTCCCAGAGCTGCCTTATCTGCTGTCAAAGAGAACTGCTGTGAGGATAAGGAAAGGGCAGGGAGAGGAAGCATCTGGGGCGAAAGTAAGCTTGCGAGTATGTCTGAAAACGAGGAGATTGTGGAAACCCAGAACTTGCTTAAGGCTCACAGGGGACTGTTGAGCAATAGTTCCATCATTCCTAGAAATTATAAACTTTGGAACCTGAGGTTATGACTCTCAGGATAAAGCAATCCCACACGTTCAGACTGGCCTTGGGAAGAAATGGCAACCACAGATGGTAACAGTGTCAGTGCTTGAGAACAAAAATGGTCAAGAGCCATGGATGTGACGGGAGCGGGGTCTGTATGAGGGTGGTGTCCTTATTTAAAACTTGCAAGTGGGCAGCAAACGAGCCTAAGGGTGAGGCGGGGCCCAGGGCCACCTCCTCAGAGAACCCCTGGACAGCGCAGGATTCAGCTAGTGCATGCTTTATTTCCAGCACGGTGTGGAAGGTGCAAGTGCTGTTTGGGTCATGCCACTTCATTTAGCCTCTTGAGAGTTCCTAGTGTTGGCAAGATCTCCAATCCAAGCGTTACAGGCAGAGCACAACTTCTTGACCCAGCATGTTTTCTTGTCCTTGTCTCTCAAATCTGGTAGTTTCTGCACTGGGGGACATCTGTCCACTGCAATGATGAAAGTCGGAAACCGTTTTCTGTAGACACCTCCTTCCAAAGTCCAAGAGTGCAGGGGCCCAGGGCAACTTGGAAGGAAGCTGCCAAAGTCCAGCTAGAGTCTTGACTTCGTTAGATGAGGACATGGGAAAGTCACCTGTGTCCTCCTCACGCATTTAATAATCAAAGAAGAAATATCCATGGGTTCTAACTGCAGATATGTTAGATATAAAATTGATGGAATGCAAGCTGGTCCATAAAGGGCTGCACAAGATAATCTGTGGCAAAGTAGAAAACCAGCCCAAAGGTGATGGAGATGGGAAGAGCCGGCAGCGCCTTCTTGAAGATGGCGAGTAGAAGTAACGTAAGGCACAGGCCCTGTGGGGACGGAGAGGCACACTCAACATTTCAGTTATTCAGTACCACATCAGTGAATGCTCTCCTTCAAGTTTACCTTTTACAACGAAAGTTTCATGAAATCTAGTCATGAAAGAAAAACTTCTGGAACGACCTGATGGCACACACCAGTTACTCAGCAAGCTGAGGCAGGGTTACCTGAGCCCAGAAGCTTGCGCCCAGCCTGGGCAACAGTGAAAAGAGGGGATGCGAGTGTGAGAGGGAAGGAGCAATCTGTGCCCTCTGTGAAAACGAAGCTGCTGGGTTTTCTTGTTCATTTATATACACAGTCCAGACCGGCCTCAAACTGTATCCTCCTGCCTCAACTTGCTAAGTGCCAAGGTGCCTGGCCTCAAATCCCCCATACAGCTAAGAACAACCTTGACCTTTGGGTCCTTCTTCTTCTACCTCCATAGGGGGCACTGGCCACCATGCTTGCGTTATGTAGTCAGAGACCGAATGCAGGGCTTTGAATACGCTCGGCAGGCCTCTAGCAACTGCACCACACACCTCAACTCCAAGCAGTCGGAAACAGTCCATTTATTATTAGTTAGAGACAGGATCTCACTAAGCAGTCTAAAATTTAACCAGGCAGAGATCCACCTGCCTTTGTCCCCAGAATGCCAGGATTAAAGGTGCACACTAACACACCCAGCTTTCTAAATTTTGAAAGCCACAGGCACTGTAAGATGGGAGTACACTCTGGGCCAGCCTCTCTTGCTCCACACCTGCTGTCCCAAAACAACCCGGGTGCACACTGAGCATCAATGGAAAATCACTGAACACGCTCTGACTCAGTGCATAGATCAGGAGAGTCTTTATTGACTGCCTTGCTTCTGGCCTCCCCACGCAGTGTCTAAGCAGAAGTGTAATTTCCTGGAGAACTTCGAAGACAAAGCTGAGCACAGGACTGATACCAAAAGCTCATGTAGGAAGAGATCACAGCAAGTGCATACTTCAGTTCATCAGACTCAGCAATATACTTCTTCACAGACAAGACACAGCTAGGCTGGAAGCATCAGGCGATTTTAATATATGGCCAGAGTAGAGAACTACTCAGATAGGGTCTAATTACCCAATTTTAAAGTTTCTCAACGGATTGGAATTCTCAGCCTATCTGGAGTCCAAAGAAAATTGTTAGGGCCAGGAAGATAGCTCAGCAGGTAAAAGCACTTGCCACAAAAGCCTGATCCCTGAACCCATGGAAAAAGCTGGAAGCAGGGGCCTCACCTGTGGTCCCAGCACTCCTGTAGAGCTATGGGAAGTGGAGACAGGAGGCCAGCTTAGAGTGCACAGTTCAGTGCAAAAACAAGAGGCAACCTGCTTGGGGTGGAAGGAAAGACCTGGCTCCCCAAAAGTTGTTCTATTACACATTTGTCACAGAACATGTGCACATAACACCTTGCCAGGGTATACTTACAATTAATATGGCTACAAAGCAGGCTATGGTTGTGTTCCAGTCTCCACTGGCGGTTGCTGAGGCTTTACCAACCAGAACACTGTAGAAAATGAAATCTCCCAATCCGAGTTTTACGCCCCCTAAAATATGAAAGATTAAAGATGTAAGAAAGTTTGCCATTCTTTTCTATGCTTTTTTTAAAGATAGGGTGTTGTTATATAGCCCAGACTGGTCTTGAACTTGTGTACCTCCTGCCTCTGCCACTCAAGCCCTAGGACTACAAGTATGTGCCACCACACCCAAGCACTGTGATTTCATAATTCAATTTTATGACCCCAAGCCAGGCATGGTGACATGCACCTGTACTTTGAGCTACTCAGGAGACTGAGTAGGAGGACGGCTTAGGACCAGGAGTGTGACTATGTCTCAAAATCCAAAGCCAAAATGAATCAAAAATCAGCCCCATGCTAACTGCGAAGTCAGTAAATGATACACGCAATTTAGGGTTCAGAAAGATTGTTTTGTTTATCTTCTGTTTCTTCTACATCATGAGTTTCAGAGTCTATGTGACTGGAGTCCTAAGAGATGCTGCTGCTCCATCTCAGTAACTACAAAAACTTAATCAACCATCACATAACAGGCTTCTACGGGCTGCACCACTGAGTCTGCACAGAGCCTCGTGTGTACCTCAGTGACCTGTGTGACTCAGTGACCGTGAAAGTTCAGAGTGAATGACATCATCACAATCCACACCAAACCATGCTGGAAGGCACCATGTGCCATTGCCCCTGCCCAAACCCAAGCCACTTTCTTTTTTTTCTTTTTTTGAGAAAGGGTTCCACTCTGCAGCCCTGGCTGCCCTGGAACTCACAGAGATGCCCCTGCCTCTACCTCCCGAGTGCTGGAATTAAAAGTCATCATCTTTTTGGCTTGGTTTTGTCCCCTCATTTTCTATTTTTATGAATTTATCTTTTCTAGACGTTTCATATACAGTCATACAAAAGATGTCTTTAGTGATTACATACTAACCTTTAAAAAGTTGTTATGAGCTCAGCAGGGTGGCACACTTGTAATCCCAGAACTTGGGAGGCAGACTCTGCAGGAGGATCTCTGTGAGTTAGGGGCTAGCCTGGTCTACAGAGAGAGTTCCAGGACAGCTAGAGCTGCACAGAGAAACCAAACAAACAAAAAAGTTGTTTTGGGGTTGGAGGAGAGGCCCCAGTGGGTAAACTTCTTGCGATGCAAGCATGAGGGCCTAAGTCTGGAGCCCAGCACCCTGGGCACGGTGCATATCTCTAACACTGGTGCTGGGGGGGGGGGGGTGGGAAATGAATGGAAAGTGAAGAGACAGACAGACAGACAGACACAGATGGACCCCGCCAGCTTAGCCAGCATGGCCAGCCAACTCCTAATTCTGCGAGGGACTTTGTCTCAAAAAAAAAAGAGGCTAAAAATACCAAGAAACCAGCAAAGGAGAAAAGCTGCATAAACGTATTGAAACCTGTTTCATCCGCAGAGCAAACAGAGACTGCCCACCTCAATAGAATGTGATCGGGGATGCGGTGAGACAGAGAGAAAAGGCGCCAAAAGAGAAAGACACCTAACACGGGACTCACACGGGAGAGCACGCCTGCACACATATACACACATACCTCCCACACAAACACACAGGAAAGGCTTTGGAAGACATGTGTGTGCCTTTTAGAATCAAAACACTGCAGTAACCAGACTTTTGTAAGAAACCATGTCTGCTTTAACACACTATCAGTCGCATATGGATTAAGAATGTCTGGGTACTTGGATGTACAAGAATGTATCAATTAGGTGCCATAAAATAGGGGTCAAGGGAGAATTAAAAACCCATGAAATGGGGCTGAAGAGACGGCTCAACAGTTAAGAGCACTGACTGCTCTTCCAGAGGACCCAGGTTCAATTCCCAGCACCCACATGGCAAGCAGCTCAGAACTGTCTGTAACTCCAAGATCTGACACCCTCACACAGACATACATGCAGGCAAAATGCCAATGCACACAAATTAAAAATAAAAACAAAGATAGAAAGCCCATGAAGGGCTAGGTGTGGTGGCCAAAACTCAGGAAAGGCAGGCAAATCTCTGAGTTTCAGGCCAGACAAAGTTATATAGTGAGGCCCCCCCTTACCCCCACAAAAACAAACAAACAAAAAACAAAAAACAAGCAAACAAAAAACCCACAGAAAAAAAGTCATGAAGGCCAGAACTTGACAATTCACAAGCTTAGCAACTTAGCTCTAAAAATTCACTGGCTGTTAATGGCACCTCCTGCTAAGTGAGTACTATAGTTCTCAGCATTATTTGTGGGCTTATGTTCTCACTTCACTGTGCTCTCTCCTGTGTGGATGTATTAAAAGAGGGGACCTGGGGGGGGTGCACAGCAATTAGAGGCCAAACGTTGACACCTGGTGTCTTCGTCAGTCATTCTCCATCTAAGTTTTAGAGACAGGGTCTCCCACTGGCCCTGGAAAAATTCAGTTTGGTCGGCAAGCCCCAGAGACCCTCCTGTCTCTCCTCCCCAGTGTTTTTTCTTAAAATGTGAGTGTTGGAGATTGAACTCAGGCACTCATGCTTGTGTGGCAAACACCCACGTAAGCTAGTTCCTCTGAGCAATTCAATGTGCTCTCGAGAGATGGGTGACAGAGTCACTTAAAGAAACCCTGACTTCAGACAGAGATGACACACGTACTTTCCTCCGGGTCTTCATTGGTTAGGATACTGCTGGAAAGTTCCTGGACAGCAGCTCTTGACTCAGGAGTGGAGCGATGAGGCCCCAGGTGACTGTCCCTTTGGGCTTCCCATTCCTCACTGAAGCCACCATCATCGTTCCCAGGACTAGAGTCCTGTGTCTCCCTTTCTGCTCCTTTAAGAGAGAAGGTGGCAATTAGAGACTAATACTTAGAGCCATTTCCCCCATAGACTAGACGGCAGAGTCTTGGTCAGAGCAAGCAGAGCAATTCTTCCATTCTTTCTTCTCAACTAAAGTTCTCCAGCTGAGGGCTGTGGCTCGGAACTGTCTGAGTGTTGACACTCCTCCCTTTCTTTCCTCTTTCCACGGAAGGGAGGCATGGCTTCCATCTTCCTTGCATGCAGTCTGGATTTAATGCTCAGTACTGCAACTGTCGTGATCACAAACAAACGAGGGCTGAGGACAGCCAGCATGTCAGAGGTGGCAAAGAATGAAATGGCAAAGAACCTGTGCCCTGTGAACACCAACAGGGAATGTCTTCTGTTCACTATCCCCAGAGGTAGGGGACACTGGGCATACACCTAGTGACCACTCACCAGTTTTGAAAGAAAGAATAAAATCTTAACACACCACACACACCCATGCTCATATAACATACAGTGTGGTGGGTGGCTTTGTGCCAACTTCACTCAAGCTAGAGTCATCAGAGAGGAGGGAGCCCCGATTGAGAAAACACCTCCATAAGATCAGGCTGTACACAAGCCTGGAGAGAACTTTCTTAATTAGTAATCGATGGGAGACAGCGCAGCCCATTATGAGTGGTGCCATCCCTGGGCGAGTGGTCCTGGGTTCCGTAAGAAAGCAGGCAGAGAAAGCCACAAGGACCAAGCCAGCAAGCAGTGACCACCTCCATAGTTTCTGTGTCAGCTCCTGCCTGTTTGAGTTTCTGTCCTCACCTTCAGTGATGAACAGTGATGTGGAAGTGGAAGCTGGATAAACCCTTTCCTCCCCACGTTTCTTTGGTCATGGTCTTTCTTCACGGCAATGGAAACCCCAACTAAGGTTGCTGGGCATTGGTGGTACATGCCTTTAGTCCCAGCACTCAGATCTCTGTGAGTTTGAGGCCAGCCTCGTCTAAATAGCTAGTTCCAGGACAGGCTCCAAAGCAATACAGAGAGGAAAAAAAAAAGAGAGAGAGAAGAAGAAAGAAGAAGAAGAAGAGGAGGAGGAGGAGGAGAAACCCCAACTAAGACATATAGTCAACTTGGGGCAAGAGAGATGGCTCTTCCAAATTACTTAAGTTTAGCTCCTAGCACGCACACACGATGGTTCACAACATCCACAGGTACCAACCATGCATGTGCACATACATGCAGGCAAAACACTCAAACACAAAATTAAATATATATATATACAGTTTAAAATTAAGCTTTTAGCCACCATTTCCAATACTTTCTCACTTGTCTTTGATCTGTTACTGTCAAATGTCACCTTGTTCTGCTGCCTCGCTCTACAGAAATGAGGTCCGTCCGACAGCTTTGAGCCTCAGACCGGAGTTTCCAGTTATTCAGGGTACTCGTACAGCCAGCCAGATGCGTCCTTGTTCTCTGTACCCCAAACAGCAGTAACCAAGGCCCACTGTCCTTCTCTTAGCAGTCATTTTCAGTTTCCTTTTCAACCTCCTAAGGTTAGCCATTTGTCTTTTTAAGAGATGGCCTTGCTGCTTTACTTTTACACCACACTGTTCTTCAATTCATTTTACCTCTAGTCTGAGGTTACAGGCATTCTGACTACATCTGGTTAAGGTTCTCACTCACTTTTATCTATTAGGAGGGTGGGAGAGAGGGAGAGAGCTGCTTCTTCTTCTTCTTTTTTTTTTTTTTTTAAAGAAGGCATACCTCTTTAAAAATTATACATTAATGACAGCATCTTAGCCCAGTGTGGACTGGTGGCTTTACAAGTATTTCAGTGCCTTAAATAGTTGTACATGCATTTACTGGGATGGCCAGTTTTTCTAGGAGACTCTCTGTGACATCTTTCACCATCACATGTCCTCCTATGTCTAGTGCTTCTCAAATGGCAGGCAAGTGCTCTGGCCCTGACCTCCAGCAGGACCAAAGAGGTTGAAATTACTGCTTCCTAACTTCAACAATTTATCTATACGTGATAATGAACCTACAAAACTAGGACATTTACAAGAGCATCACCTACTTTGTGTGTTATACTTGGGGTTTTGGGGTACCCTTCTTTGGGCTTCTGGGTCTCCTTCAGCCATATTCACCAACCACACCATTGTTGCTGTTGAGAAAGACAAAGATGCAGGTGAGTTCTCAAAGCCTAGGGCACTGCACTAGCAAGCAAAAGGCCATTAATTCTCTGTGGTTTGGAACCACTGGTCTTTGTGCTGTCACCTCAAATGTTACACAATCAGAAGTAAACAAGGGTTAAGAAATGATAAAAGACTGCAGGTTAAGAACCATGTATAACACTGAATGCAGCAGGGCTGGAGAGATGGCTCAGTGGTTAAGAGCCATGGATGCACTGGCTGCTCTTGCAAAGGACCTGGGTTTGATTCCCAGCATCTACATGGTGGTTCAGAACCACCATAAATCCAGTTCCAAGAGATCCATGCTCTCTTCTGACTTCTGACCTCCAAGGGCACCTTAAAGCTAAAGACACTAATACAGCACCGCTCCAGCATACTTACAGGAATAGATCAGCGCTGGAAAGAGAGTTTCATTTCTTTCCTGAGCTGTTTCAACCAGCATACGAAGTGGACCTTTGGGACACAAAACAGCCACCAAATCTAGAAAGAGGAAAATAAAAAAAAAGACACCCAATAAAATATATTGACTGAAAATATATATATATATATACATGCTGGGGAGGACTTAAATGAGGGACAAACTTAATGAATTTTTACAAAAGGTACTGGAAAAATATGGAAATACTTGTACTTAAGCAAGTAAGAGAAAGCAACCTGAACAAAATAAAACAGAACCCAAAGAAGTCCTGTGCAAATTACACTTTGGCCTTGCTGTTGTGTGCTCAGTCTACAGTCTATGATTACTGGGGTCTAGACACAACTCTTCTTAGTTGGAAGGAGAGGCAGGAACAGCAAGGCAGAGCTATTCTAGAGTATTTCTCAATCTGTGACAAGCAGAATGGGAAGGCATTATAACAGTGCGGGATGGGGCATGCTGGGGGAGGGGCGTGCACGTGCACAGCTTGTGAAGGCCGCACCCCATTCCCAGCACCTTAAACAAGCACGCTTAATTAAGGAACCTGCAATAAGAGGGCAGCAAATTTAAATAAAGTGATAGCGAATGACAAAGTTTAATATTTTTTCAGTTTCCAGTCAATAAAGTACTTCACAAATATTTAGGTCTCAAAACATATGAGATGCTAAAAATTGACCTATTTCATAAAAATAGCAGCTCAGAGAGGAAGCAATATGCCTAAATTATATTTGATTCTAACACCATTTTCTTCCATGCACTACAATTTTTCTTACATTTTCTGTGTTACAGAAATCCTGAAAATAACCTCAAACATTTAAAAATATGAAACAGGTATAGCTAAATTTGTAAAGGAAGACTTGACAGCCGACATCACTGTCATTCAGACGGCTTCAGTGGTCATGTCTGTGTACAATAGCAAGAGCAATACACCAGTAACTCCCTCCTCTCGCCACTTCCTTTTATGTGTTCAAGTGAGAAAAAGGAAATTTCCTGTACTTGCAACTAATGAGATCACAGCTGGTTTAAAGCTGCCACATCCTGTAACTCCTTTGGTTTTTATGACATGTTTCCCCTTATAGAATTTTGAAATAAATAGATTCAGTTATTTTTAGGGCAACTGAAATAAATGAAAATTAATTCACTTAAACATTTTCAGAACACTTCTGACAAAACATCTTGATACTTTGTAAGAAGCAGAGTTGAGAGAGTCACTATCTAAAACTGGCTACACAGCTCCTCCACATTCAGAAGACCCAAAGCTCGGAGGAGGTCACCTGTGCTAGGAGCAGAGGGTTGAGGGTCATGGAGAGAATATCACAAGCTTAGAATTCAGATTCTAGGTCAAGCCACATGAGATGAGGCAAATATTTTACCTCTGTAACCTTCAAGCTTCTTAGCAATAAACAAGTCTGTGATAAGTACATTGCTGTGTATGAGTATGCTGGACTTGCAGGAATTGGTTCTCTGCTATCATTACATGGATTCTGGAGATCCCACTCAGGTTGTCCGCCTTGGTGGTAAGAGCTGTTACAGGCTCAGCCACCTCACTAGCCCCAAACTGGCCTTTCTTCCCTTTCTCAGGGACAGATAGGAGGTTTACAAAACCTCAGTAAGATTAGATCACCCAGATGTGACCTAATAGAGCAAATACTTTTCTAACCCCGACTACACATACACACTGACTGGCTGAGTTCTATTCCCACAGGCTTTCCCTGTCCATTAAAGGGTGGCAGTTTCCAGCTACAGGTCACCACATACTTTGATGCTCTTTAGAATGGGGGCCACCCAGTAGTCTCTGAGAGGGATCTGTTTGGCTTTCACGTGGACAAGAGCGGGAAGATAAAGCTAGTCACCCTGTTACTCATGACTAGAGTATTAATGTGACCCATGTCACAGCAGTTGTTCACAATTCTTAAAATTGAAATTTAATTATGTGTATTCATGTATATCTTTATGGCTGTGCGTATGTGAGTGCTGTGAACTGAGCTCTGGTCCTTTGCAGTAGGATGCAACCTTAACTACTAAGCCATCTCTCCAGTCCTAAAGGTATTGAGGTCAGGGTTTTTTGTTTGTTTTGTCTTGTTTTTGGAGACAGGGTTTCTCTGCGTAGCCCTGGCTGTCCTGGAACTCGCTCTGTAGACCAGGCTGGTGATTTGCCTGCCTTGCATTAGACTCCCCGAAGTTCAGGTTGATGAAGTCAGTCTAAACCAGGTTTTCCATTGCTTTTCTTTGCTTTTTTCTTTTTGGTTTTTCGAGACAGGGTTTCTCGTGGCTTTGGAGACTGTCCTGGAAATAGCATCCATGGACCAGGCTGGTCTCGAACTCACAGAGATTTGCCTGCCTCTGCCTCCCAAGTGCTGGGATCAAAGGTGTGCACTGCCAACACACTTGCTTCCCTGTATGACTCCTGCAGGGGCCCCTCAAGTTATGGGTTCTATCCACAGGTCTTTCTGTAGAAACAGGTATTGGGCTTATTTTACAAATGTAAACCTCACTCTCAGATTTTGTTTATTTTTGTTGTTTTTTAAAAAAGGCTTAAAGTGGGCCAGGTTGGTTTTGAACTTACTACATTAGCTATGGATAACCTTGAATATGCTGGTTCTCCTACCTCTACCCGCCTAGTGCTGAGATCACAGACATACACACCAACCACATCAGGAAAATTTTAATCTTTAAAGGGGTGATTCCACAGAAGCTGCTGTATGATTTTGACCTTAGAATGAACTGAGGAAGGACTGACAGGTGGCTTGGAGCTTAAGAGCACTGGCTGTTCTTCTAGAGGACTGGGTTCAATTCAAAGGGCCCACATGGAGCTCACAACTGGATGGAAATGCAGTTCCAGAGAATATGACATCGTCTTCTAGCCTCTGCAGCAGGCACAAGGCATGCATGTAGCACATAGACATATTTACAGGCAAAACACTCATATACATAAAATAAAAATTTCAAAGAAAGAAACTGAGTTGAGGGCGGTGAGGTGGCTTACTTAAGGTGCCTGCCACCAACCCTGACAATCTGAGTTCATCCAATCCCCAGGATCGCCATGCAGGAAGGGAAGCATTGATCCCTGAAGTAGTTCTCTGACCTCTACACTCATGCCCGGACACATGACCTTCCCCCCAAAACTATGGTAAAAATTTTAAATAAAATGAACACTGTACATGTGTCAGGCAGTCTGCTAGCACTTCTCAGTATATTAAAATCACTGAACTCTTAAGTCCCTGGAAACTTGTTTCCATCTCCCAAGGAAATCAAAGCTCAATGAAACTATTGATGACAGATGTTATTTTGCTGTTTTGTTTCCTGTGGTCTGGAGACTACAGCCAGGGCCTCACATTTGCTAAGAGAAAGAGTTCTGAGTCTTAAGTATTCTAACCAGCAAACTATGACTCCACTCCTCCCATGAATCCAGCACACACAGAGTTACAACTGGAAGTCATGATAAACATGTTACAAGCCCTCACTCTCAGGGCTACAGATGGGGCTCAAGGCCCAGCACTTGCCTAGCACCAACTGGTTCCACATACAACCCTCAGCACTGTAAAACTGCTATGGGACATAACCGTTAAGATTTTCCTTAAACCAAGATAACTAGAAGAGGAAGGAAAACACACCAGTGAGTATTTCTGTGATGAACAAAGTGTCAGTCTTGAGTTTTACCATATACTGAAATCACAGCCAGGATGAGCCATGCGGTCCACTCAGGGAGGTACTTGATGAAGACCAGGGCCATCAGGGCACTGATCATGATGAGGTACGCTTGCTGCAGTCGCAGTGGGCCTTTCCAGTGGATGGCAATCATCCCCACCACACCGAAGTTCCAGATCAGGAGTGCCACGGTAATGTAGTCCACAGCAACATTGTATGTCTTAAACACTTCCCTGGAAAGTTAAACAAGGATCTGAAGTGGCTTATGTGCAATGATTCTCAAGTACATACCGAATGCTGAAACATTAGCTATTCAAATCCATATCTATGTTTTACTATGGCCTATGCTGTACTGTCATTTAAGTAACATTTTTTAAAATCACATTTTCCTCAAGCAGAACTTATTTTAGCAGGTACCACATTATTTATATTAATGAATGAATTTTTATAGGTCACATCTATAAATAACAAAAACTTTAAAAAAAGGAAATCATACCACCTAAAATACCATATACATATACTATACCAATATTATATTTTTTTTAATTAGAAACAAGCTTTTTTTTTTTATATGTCAATCCCAGTTCCCGAACCCTTCCCTCCTCCCCTGGTCCCTCCAAGCCCCTTTCCCACCCCTTTTCTGCTTCCCAGGGAAGGTGAGGCCTTCTGTGGGGATCTTCAAAGTCTGTCATATCATTTGGAGCAGGGCCTAGACCCTCCCCCTGCCAATACTATATTTTATAAAATCCCAGTTTAAAGTATCTGAAAACTAGAAAAAAAAAAAAAAAAAAAAAAGGACCAATAAGCGTTACAGCAGAAACACATGTTCATACTGAAACTTAGAGAACATAGTTTGACTCATTGTTGCTACAGAAACAAACCCCATCCTGTAGAGAGCTGCGAAGTGCCGCAGTGCCGGGCCTTAAAGATGGCGCTGGCTTCCGCCCTCCACCTTTCTGATGGTGAGTGCTCTCTGTATTAAACAATTCCATATTTGGCTAAGGCTGAGGATCTGGCTTGCTTCCGTGTATGTGGACCTGTCTGTTTTTAGTATATGTCTTCACAAATTACTACAGTAAAAATGTTTTTAAATTAATACATTTAAATTTTTATTTAAATCATTTTATTCTATACATGAATCCAAATCAAGTTCTTTCCATTACTTAGTTCTGATATACAATTAGAATTTTAAGATTTATTTTTTTTAATTATGTGTACGTGTGTACGTGTGTACGTGTGTGTGTGTGTGTGTGTGTGTGTGTGTGTGTATGTGTGTGTGTGTGTGTGGTGTTATGTGCATGTTATTGGAGGCCACCAGAGGGAACTGGATGCAGGGATAGTTGTGAGCTGCTATGTAGCTGCTGTGAACTGAACTTGGGTCTTCTGTATGAGCAAAAAGCACCCTTAACTGCCTTGCCATCTCTCCAGCCCCAGAACTGGCACTTTCTTAAGGGAACTGACACTGCACGCTGATGTCCTGTTAGGATGCTTTAAGATTATAATACTGTCCAGAGAAATATCTTTGAACTGAATGACTTTTATTCAAAAGGCCCAAAATTATTTTTTTTTTATGTGAAATGTTTTGGTAAATTCAGTTTCAGATTCAAGAGTCAGATAAATAAAGCTAACAGTAATTTAAGTTATTGAAGTAATTTGTATGCTGTATATTAGATTTCAAATTTTCTGTGTATTATAGATTTCAATATTTATTAAAATGACCTATACTTTCTACCTTTCCTATTTTCCAAGCAGTTATCATATATCAGTGAAAGGAATTATTTGCTTAAAATATATTTGCATGAGATGGGAAACTATACTTATTTCTTTTAATCTGGTATATTAATTTTTAAAGCATTTTATAAATGCATTAATCATTACAGGCTGTTGAAAAATTCACAACTGAATGGTACTAATACAGACTACATCAGAATGAAAGACAGTTTTCTGACAGTAAAGGATCAGCTGGGCCTCAAAGGGTCATTTATTTTCAATGCTTCAAATTGGAAATGGGAAGAATATAATGTTTTTTGATTTAAAGTTGTCCCACAACTGAAAACACAAAAATCCTGAAATGCATCTGAAAGCCATTTGGACAAGAGAAATAAGTGAAAGACATAGGTTGTTACATAGATTAAAAAACAAACAAACAAACAAAAAACATACAGGTCCACATACACGGAAGCAAGCCAGATCCTCAGCCTTAGCCAAATATGGAATTGTTTAATACAGAGAGCACTTACCATCAGGAAGGTGGAGGGTGGAAGCCAGCGCCATCTTTAAGGCATGGCACTTCGCAGCTCTCTACACCATCCCACTGATGAAAATAATGTCTTTATAGAAGAATACAGCACTCAGGAGGCAGAGGCAGGTGGATCTCTGTGAGTTTGAGGCTAGCCTGGTCTACAAAGCGAGTTCCAGGGCAGACGAAGCTGTTACACAGAGAAACCCTGTCTTGAGAAAACAAAAAACAAAAAAAGAATAGAGCTAGAGATTTTTATATTAATCTCTAGAAGCATGACTGGATTTACCTTTATTTATTTATTTTGGTTTTTTGAGACAGGGTTTCTTTGTGTAGTCCTGGCTGTTTTGAAACCCACTTTGTAGACCAGGCTGGCTTCAAACCCACAGACATCTGCCCATCTCTGCCTCCCGAGTGCTGGGATTAAAGGCAGGTCACCACACCCGAATACCTTTTCTTTAGGGTGCCTGTGTGGTACTGGGATGAAACGCAAGGCCTCGTGCATCCTAAGCCTGTGCTTATGTATTGTCTTAGTCCACTTCCTAACAAAAGAACAAGCAGCACCCTGAGTGGTGTACTCGGGTGAGCTTGCCAATAATGGCATACGAAGAGGCCAAAGTGGGCATTTTCCTTACTCTTTCAGACAACATCTCTCACTGAACTTAGTGCTTGATGTTTGAACTAGCTTGGCTGGCTAGCAAATCCCTGGGATCTGTCTGTTTGTCTCCCATCGCTGGGGTTACAGAAGTTTGCCACTGCACCCGGCTTCTACGTGGATTCTGGATAGCCAAACCCAGGCCCTCGTGCTTGACTAGCACACATGGCCACCTGAGCCAGCTCCCCAGACCCTGCTTAACTTTTTTAGGTGAAGAAAACTACCACTTTAGCATCTGGAGAACAAACCTATCATCTTAAGAGATTGTAACTACGGTAGACGTCCTAAGGAGCTGTAGAGGAAGAATATATTTAAGCACAAACTGTAGGCCAAGGGGACTGTCCAGGAAGATGATTTCTCTCTCATTTTGAAATTCTAAAATATTTTAAGTAAAATCTCAAAATTTCTAGATGAGGTTGCAATGTATATTACACTAAATATTTCAAGTATACTAAAATCACACTAACCTCAACACCAGTATAAAGATGTATAACACATCTCCCTCCCCTCCATCCCACAGTTCTGCTCTTCAGGGAAAACCCTGCTATATTAATCCATTTTATGTTATCTTTCCAGAGTCTATCTAATGTATACTCTTTTTTGTTTTTTTCATACAGGCTTAAAGATTGGCTTGCCCTCAATCAGTAACACAGGATGGCCTAGAACTTCTGACCCTCCTGGCTTATGTGGGAATAGAACCACGGCTTTATGTGCACTGAGCAAGCATTCTACCTACTGAGCTATTACCCTAGCCCCACAAACACACACATTCTTATTAGATACAAATGACAGTCTATTACACACAATGCTATGACAGGTTTTTTTCTTTAAAAAATTATTTAAAATTTATTTTATGAGTATGTATATGTACTAGTATGTGAACTTCTATGTGCCTGAGTGTGTTGTCTGCATATATGTATATGTGCTGGTATGTGGACTAGTGCTTGAGTAAGTTGGAAAAGGATGGAGGGTCCCCAGGAAGTGTGTTACAGTTGGCTATGAACCAGTATGTGGATGCTGGGAGCAGCCAGTGCTGTTAAACCTTACTTGTCTATTTATTGCAAACAAAGGACAAGAAAATCCCTACTGTGGGGCTGCTGAGATGACTTAGTGGGTATGGATGCTTGTGAAGCCTGAAGATGGGAGTCCTATCCCCAGGACCTAGCAGGTGGAAGGAGAGAACACCCTCAAGTTGTCCTCCGACTGCTGCATGTCTACTGTGACATGAGGCCCCACCTCTTTAGCTGGCTACCAAGAAGGCTCATCCGGTAAATGCACTTGCCTGGCAAGCCTGATACCTGAGTTTGATCCACAGTACTTCTCTGGCCTTCATATGGGTGCTTGCACTCATGTACATACAAATAATAACAAATTTTAAAAAAAGACAATATTCCTATCAATACCAACTCATCTTTTACATATATGGAAAAAATACTACTTAAAGAATAATTAATTCATCAACAAAGTACATGGCTCTAAGGGTAGTGATGGATACCAGAGTGAATAAAAGAGAGATCAAAAACTTATTACTTACCCCAAGTAAATGAATGAAAAAAAGAACAGCAACAACAGAGATGAAACAATAAGCCAGGCATGGATGACCTAGAAAAGAGACAATTCAAGTATAACCAGCAGATTCCACAGCTCCTAAATAGGGAGGCTCTTATGCAGGAGCAGGGCGTGTGTTAACTGCTCTGTTTTGTTTTTTCTTTTTCCTTTGTACTGCCTGAGATGAAACCTGTGGCCTGGCACATGCTGGCAACTGCTATATTACTGTGTTCCAACCCATGCCCATGTTTACTTTTTTAAAAAATATCTTTTAAGTTTTATTTATTTTATGTATATGATGTACACCTGCACATCAGAAGAGGGCATCAGATCCCATTATAGATGGTTGTCAGCCACCATGTGGGTGCTGGGAATTGAACTCATGACCTCTGGAAGAGCAACCAGTGCTCTTAACTGCTGAGCCTTATCTACAGTCCACCCATGTTTACTTTTAAATGGCTGAACAAATGTGGCTTTGGGATCAGTGAATATTCAGAAATCTTAGGAGCTAGTCAGGGTATAAAACAGAAATGTCACAAAGACACACACACAAAACACGAGAGAGAGAGAGAGAGAGAGAGAGAGAGAGAGAGAGAGAGAGAGAGAGGGGGAGAGGGAGAGGGAGAGGGAGAGGGAGAGGGAGAGGGAGAGGGAGAGGGAGAGGGAGAGGGAGAGGTAGTATGTTGCTCTTCTTGAGAACCCAAGCTAGGTTCCCAGCAACCACACTGGACAGGTGCTTAGGAGATCTGAACCCTCTGGCTTCTATGGGCACCTGCACTCATGAGTAGATACCTCACAGACATCAAAAAAACAATTTTAAAATTCTTGTTTATATGCAGTATTGAAATCCTTTCAATTTTTTTGACACAAAGTAGCAAATTATGCTGGGTTACAACTCATGGTAGAGCATTTCCTAGCATGCAGAAGAGCCCTGGGTTCAATTTCCAGTATTGCAGGAATTAAAGCAACAAATACCTATAGAAGTTAGAAAACATAAAAATACTGAAAGAAAACTAACATTTTCTTTACACACAATTTCTACCTGCAAGTGTCAGCATGTATGAAAGTCTTTTAACAAAATTCTAGAGTATGCAGCTTTGTATTTATGCTTTTAAAAACAATCTGGTTTGAGAGATGGGTAGACAAGCCACAAACTCATAGTCCTCCTGCCTCAATCCTGGCATTATAGGGGTATGTCACAGCTGCCAGCTAGACTTCATCTTTATTATAAACATATTCACATACTATACCAAGTATCTTTTGAAACATTATTTTTAAATAATATTCCGCTCATATGGGCAAAATTGAACCTTTCCCTACATATGGAATCTGTATTGTTTATATCTGCATGTATTTAATATTCCCTTTCCTCATCCAATTATTATTTCTATTAACATGAATGTCCTGGAATGCATTTTTCTTTATGTATTTTCAATTCTTTTACAGAAACTAAATTTAAAAAATTACTTAAATTTAATTAAAGTGTACAATGTTTTCATAATTACTTGATTATGAATACATGCTGGTTAATAATTACAAAAATGGCTGGATTAATCTCTATCACATCAATATGCCAAATATATTAATCTGATTTTTTAGTATGTTTTCACTACTAAGGATTCTCTCTCTCTCTCTCTCTCTTTTTCTTCTCTCCTGTTCATTAGCTATCAGCATCCCCTTCCTAACTTCTCTGTTTAGGTACTTCTGACAGAATATTTGTCCATTCTTTATAATTCACTTACCCATAATGAGGCTGTAAATTATTTAGGCTGGTCACCTATGACTCTCAAAGCCTTTCCTGATGACTAAGGGATACCCTCTACTTAAGACAATCAAGGGGCAAGAAAGCTTTCTCTTCTTTCTCAGCCCCCAAGCTGAGTGCCCCAGGAAAGGCTCTGGAAGTCGGGAGCTTCGTTCGCTCTGCTCCCAGTGGTGAGGACTTTCTCTAACCCTGAGCTATGCAGGCTGGAAATCTCATGGCTTTAACGTTATACTTCATCTGTCACAAGTGATATGTCATGACCAAGCCTTTTCTGTAAGGTTGTTTTGATTATTTATTTATTTTGTTTTGTCTTTGTTTGTTTTGCTTCTTGCAGAGACCACACAATCAAATTACTGATAGGAGAAATACTCAGGGTTTATTTTCAAACAGGTCCCAGCAAGCTTCTGAATGTCTGGCTCAAAAGCTATTTCCACAGACGTCAAAGTCAACAATAACTTTCTGTACAACCAGCTGGAACATTAAAAACAATGAAATAACACAAATGAACAAGCATGGAAATAAGAATTGGACACAAACATTCCAAACTAAGCATAATTAAAAGATATACAGAACTGACCCAAATATGTTAAGATCGTGCCTAGAGATGACAGAATCAGCACATTCCACGTGTCCCTCCCTCCTCTGAGAGCAACTGCACACGGAAGGACGCCTGCCCCAGCTCGCTGGGCACTAAGAGACAGACGGGCAGCTGGGGAAGGGCAAGTGGTAGCCACTCCAGCAGCACCTTCACCCTCCAGCTCCACCCACTCCCGCCCACACAAGGTCCCTTCTCCTTTCTCTAGTCTCCCAAGCCTGGCCACCACCAGCCTGAGTGGTAGAGAGTGGTAGAGCCCAGGGAATCTTCATTCTGATGGGGTCAAGGCATCAGGGAATGGGATGAATCGCTCTTTTTCTCTCTGACTTCCCATCTTTTAGCCCTGACACCAGGTTAACAGTCTCTGACTGGAGGAACCAAAAAGAGAAGTCTAGAGAAACCGAAAATCACCTCTGGAAGCCATTCATGAACTCATGGGCCTATCTCCCAGGAAGCATATGTGGACAGGACTCTTTTTAAAGTATCTTTTTATATGCATGGGTGTTTTGCCTACATGCACACGCATATTTATGCACCCTGTGAGTCTAGTAGTGGCAGAGGTCAGAAGAAGATGTTAAATTCACTTGATCTGGAGTTACAGACAATTGTAAGCCTCTCTGTGGATGCTGGGAATTGAACCCAGGTCCTCTGGAAGAGCAGCCAGTACTATTAACCATGGAGCCATCTCTCTAGCCTCTGTTTGTTATTTTTGAGACAGGGTTTCTCTGTGTAGTCTTGGAACTCACTCTAGACACCTCTGGGTTTTGTTGTTTTTTTGAGACAGGGTTTCACTATGAAACTCTGCCTGGCCTGAACTCTTTATGTAGATTGGGCTAGCCTATAAACACCACACACACAAACACACAAACACACACACACACACACCTTGCAAAAAAAGTTTTTTTGAGACAGGGTTAACAGCTGTGTAACAGCTCTGGCTGTCCTAGAACTCACTTTGTAGACCAGGCTGGCCTTGACTCACAGAGATCTGCCTGACTCCACCTCCTGAGTGCTGCGATTAAGGTGTGTACATGGCATTGAAAAAAAATTAAGATTTTATTACTTACTTTATGTGTCTTTGTGGCCTACATGCATGACTATGCACCATGTGTGCACCTGGTGCCTGCAGAAGCCAGAAGAGGGCATCTGATCCCCTGGAACCAGAGTTATGGATGGCTGTGAGCCACTATATGGGTATTAGGAATTAAATCTGGGTCCTCTGGAAGAGTTCTTAATCACCTAGCCATCTTTTCAGACCCACTGAAAGTTTTAAAAAATTCAAAATAAAGCATCCAAGATACAACTCAAATTACTCAGCATATAAATACTAGAAAAAAATACCAGTTGCATGAAAAAGATAATCATACACAACTAGCAAGATAATATGTATGTTACAATTCTTAGTCTTTAATGAAGAGACCAGGAGGGAACATAACTTCCCAACCTATTCTGAGTTCAGCATTACAAAACAAAAACAATTCAGGCTAGGGGGTGGTGGCACACACCTTTAATTCCAGCACTCGTGAGGCAGAGGCAGGCAGATCACTGTGAGTTCAAAGCCAGCCTGGTCTCCAACGGGAGCTACAGGACAGTCAGGGCTACACAGGGAAACCCTATCTCAAAAAAAAAAAAAAAAACAAACAACAACAATAAGAAAACCAAGACATGGGAGGAAGTCCCTTTGTTTGGTGGTATGTGAAATCAAGCTAAGGGACTGTCAGAAAGGGCTGGCCTGGAGAAAGATGCAAAAGTAAGTGACTGGTAAGAAAGAAGGCAACAGATGAAATGATCACAACATTAATAGCTAGCAAAGAAGACCTTTGAGGGTAAGGGGACGGCAGAAAGATAATTAGTTCAATGCATGTGTTCACAGGTATCTGAGTAGAATTGTTATGTACAGAAAAACAATCAACGGAACCATGGGCCCAACAAGCAATGACATCTAAGCTAAAACATTGAATTAAAAGTTGTGTTTGGGGTTGCAAGGCATCTTAGTTGGTAAAGGCACTTGCTGCCAGGCATGACAACTGAGTTGGATGCTCTCATATGGCAATTATTTCCTCCGATTTGAAACATTCGATGTAAGAGATGGATGTTCATGAACCACAAATAGGTCAAAGGTCATATAGCTGAAAGAAAATTCAATTATTCATCTATTATGTATACATCGTTCTGTCTGCATATATGCTTGCATGTCAGAAGAGGGGACCAAATCTCATTACAGATGGTTGTGAGCCACCATGTGGTTCCTGGGAATTGAACTCAGGACCTCTAGAAGAACAGTCAGTGCTACTGCTGAGCCATCTCTCCAGCCCAGAAAATGCAAGATACTTGAGAGCTACTCCCCAACAACATAAAGAGGAGTAAACAGTTGCTTGTGGTGGAGATTCTGACCAGCTCAAGTAAAGAAAAAAAGATATTTGGAGAGCTGCCTGCAAACAGTGCAGGGAGCTCCAATCATCATTTATGTTGGGGCTGCCTTTCCAATGACACAGCTGCTTTTGGAACATTGCTGCGCCCTGTAAGGAAGTTACTAACTCCTGTTAGTAACCCCAATAAAAAATTCACTGGTTTACCAAATTGGGTTCCTTTTCTGGGGTGAATAGATGTGTGCTTCAGGAGAAGTCTGTCACACAACATGGAAGGGGAGAACTTACTTCTGCAAACTGACCTCTGACTTCCACATATGAGCCATGGCACATCATGCCCACATATATACATTCATACATAATACATACATACATATTTGTGCACGCGCGCGCACACACACACACACACAGACATATACTAATTTTAAAGCATAATTTTAAAAGTTGTATCTGAGGGTACAAAATTAAGCCTGAGATTAAATGATTCTCATTCTCTCATTCTCTCTCTCTCCCCCGCCTCACAGGGTTTAGCTCTGGCTATCCCGGAACTCAGAGATCCTCCTGCCCCTGTATCCCTGAATACAGGGATTAAAGGTGGACACCACTGCCCGGCATGATTTTCTTTTCTAAAGATTTATTTTTACCCTATGTGTAGGCAGAAGAGGTTGTTAGATTCCCTGGATGACTAGGAAGTGCACTGTGGACTCATGTCCTCTGCAGGAGCAGCCAGTGCCCCTACTGATGACTCTTTTCTCCAGCCCTACCTATGAGTCGCTAAGAAACAAAGGGAAAGGAACCACTCCAATGCCTGGGACTTGGGTTGATGAGCTTCAGAGGAACCTGGAAAGGAATGAAGTCAGACAGCACATTAACAGAAGCGTCCAGAAGAATTAAGTTCGAAAAAGACAGCAGATATGATCAGGGAAATACTGTCCAGCATGGGGAAATAGTTCCCGTGAGACACAGCTTTTAAGAATTGAGGACTAGCTTTGAGAGGATTTTTACATAATGACTGAGCCAAGGCTGAATTCTGAACTAAAATTCCCACACTGACTAACTTTGGACTCACAGCAACTGTGACCCTGCCTCTATGCCTCATCTGTAAAGTTGAGATAACAGCTCATGAGACAGTAAATGAAACAAGGCGCATGCACAAAGTCTATGTAGTTTGCTATACTGTCAGCAATGGATCACTGCATGGAAAAACTTAAAACAGGGAAGCGGAGGCGGCTTACAGATGGTGGTTTCTTTTCTACACGTGAAAATGTAAAAAGCACACAGAAATGAAATAATTTACCAAGATCACTGGGGGGGGGGGGAGCTTCAGGAAGTTCAATGCTGAGTCCACAGCTCTATATCCAAGTACAAGGTAATTTTGAAAAAGAAAAGCAGGAAATCTGCGAGTGGGAAAGAATGAACCTGGAAGAGGCAGAATCCCACCCCTAATTAAATCTCAAAAGCAGGCAAAAGAACAAGCCCAGCTTGTAATCAGTCGAGTTCTAGAACATGCCCACTAAGGCAAGAAAGGGACTGGCAGCTAAACCCCGGACACAGACTCACACAGCCGGCACTGAGGGGGCACAGAAGACCCCTGAGAACACAACATTCACGGAAGGGGAGGACTCAGCCGCTCCCTTTAGTTTCTGAGAGTTGACGCCTGTCACCATCATGTACTTTCCCTCGTCAGTGGCCTCTGCACCTGTCAGATCACAACGCTTACCTGTCAGGCTGACACCACCACACACGCAGAGGTTCATCTAGCAAGGTTAGACTGTGAGCCGAGAGCTGTGGGCACTGAAAAAGATTTGATCTCGGCTGGCAGTCAATTGAGTTTCACCCTATAAAAATGTGTGTGTGCGCACTTTATTTTGAGACAGGGTCTCACCACGGAGCCCTGGCTAGTCTATAACTTGCTATGTAGGATAGGCTAGGCTCAAATTCTTAAGTATCTACCTGCCTGTGATAAATGTTGTGTGACCACATTTGGCTTAATTAAAAAAAAAAAAAAAATCAAAGCTAGTGAAGGTTAAGGCAGATGCTCTCATTTACTATTAGTGTTCAACACAAATTGTAGATCTTTTTAGAAAAATAGTTTTGTGAGCTAGAGATAGCTTAGTGGTTATGAGTTCTCGGTGATCTTCCAGAGGATATGAGTTTGGTTTCAAGCACCCATGTCAGGCAGCTTGTCAGTCCTCTAACTCCAGAAGACCCAAGGCTCTCTTCTGGTCTTCTGCACATATGTGGCAGACACACATGTATACAAAAATAAATATAAAATAAATACAAAACAATATTGTGTCTGGAGAGATGGATGGCTCAGCAGGTTAAAAGCACTTGTTCTTATAGAGGACTGGAGTTCAACTCCCAACACCCATGTGGTGGCTTACAACCATCTGTAACTCCAGTTCCAGGGGATCTAACACCCTCTTCTGACCTCCTAAGACACCAGGCATATACGTGGTGTGTGTGTGTGTGTGTGTGTGTGTGTGTGTGTGTGTGTGTGTGTGTGTGTGTATTAAAATGAGTAAGGCTAAAAAGAAAATTTAAAAAATCATTTGGCACACTATGAGTTAAAAACTCGTAGAAAGCTGGTGGTATTGTACACCTTTAATCCCAGGATGCAGAGGGAAGTGGCTCTCTCTGAGTTTGAGGCCAGCTTGGTCTACAGCCAGGACAGCCAGGGCTACAGAGAAACCCTGTCTCAAAACAAAAATAAAACAAAACAATTGTATATAATTGTATATAATTTTTGCTTCAGAAAAAATTTAAGTTTAAGATTTTACCCTAAGGAAATAACAGAAAAAGGTCTATTCTTAAAAGATATCACTTTTTATAGTAGTAAATAGAAATAAATGTCCAACATCAGGAAACTCAGAAGACACAAATTATACTCACCAAGCTAAGTATTACATAACCACAGAAATATTTCCTAAGCATTTATGGTAAAGTAAATGTTAACAAAGGACACACATTGACTACACATTTTAACCATGTTTAAGAACACACAGAAGGCTGGGCGGTGGTGGCACACACCTTTAGTCCCCAGCACTCTGAAGGCAAAGACAGGCAGATCAGGCCAGCCTGATCTACAGAAGGAGTTCCAGGACAGCCTCCAAAGCCACAGAGAAACCCGTCTCAAAAAATCAAAAACAAACAAAAAGGAATACACAGAAAAATCTAGGAGGAAATAATTAGACTTTAAATCTGGAGAGGCAGTAATTATTATTCCTATTATTTGAGAATGATTTTTAAAGGTCCACACTTATAATGATTTGTTGTTTTTCTGGGGTTTGACTCTGAAATATGTGCTAGGTGGCTGAAACTCAGGAGGCAGTCACTTAGTGAGAGAGAACAAGAAAGAGGGAAGAGAGGCTGGAGGTTGGCCTGCATCACTACTGTACCTTCTCTCTGGGCCCAGTGGCCAAGGCCAGAGGTCACACAAATGATGCTGAGATTTCTCAAGTGAGCTGGCCAGTCACTGTTGAGTTTTTCAATAGCATTTGAAGGTGGCTTTATAGGACACATAAATCCTATAGTGCTATTTGTCAATAAGGATATACACAACAGTCTTAGGGCACGTCCCTTTCCAATGCCACAGGTACAATATGAATTGCAGTACTGAAAGCAATTCATTTCATTTCATTTTAGAGACAGGGTTTCTCTGTGTAGCCCTGGCTGCCCTGGAACTCACTCTGTAGATCAGGCTGGCCTCAAACTCAGAGATCCACCAGTTCCTGCCACCCAAGTGCTTGGATTAAAGGTGTGTGTGATTAAAGGTGTGTGCTATCACTGCCAGGCTATTTGATCTTACATGAAAATACCACCAGGTTATATGCTCTTACATGGAAACATCTGTTTCCCAGTTATGTCTTTTGGAACTTTAAACATCTACATAATGAAATGGGAAATAGCTAAAAATTAGATCCAAATATAAGGCATTTTTTTTTTTTTTTTTTTTTTTACTAGACCACATCAAGTACATAATAAGACAAGAAGGCTATGAGGCAGCTCAAGAGGTAAATCAAGTGTCTGCAACCTTGAGGACTGGATATTTAGAACCCAAGAAAAGATGGAGAAAACCTATTCCACAAAGTTGTCCTCTTTGTGCCCAGGCCTGCACATACATACATTCATTCATTCATTCATCTCTCTCTCTCTCTCTCTCTCTCTCTCTCTCACACACACACACACACACACACACACACATAACCTCTCTCTTCTCACATACATAATAACAAAGTGTGGAACAAGAAAAAACAGTTGATCCGCAGGTCAAGGCAGACAGCAAAGCTGCATCTCATGCTTACCTTGTAGCACCTGTATTTATAAAGAACCACCAGGAGGATGGTCATGACAACGATGACACTGATCATGATGGCAGCATTCAGAATCGAGTGCAGGGCTCTTTGGCCTACAGTTTCAGTGTCTTCTGTGAATGGGGTATAGATTCTAGAGGGGAGAGAGGAACAAAATACAAAAGTGTTAATGGATATCACAAGCCACATACTCTCTTTAAAACTGTAATTCTTTGTGAGGTCTTTGATTTACTGAGTGCCTTAGAATGTACCTTTCCAAGTTTATCAGTCAACTAAGACTTTTTTGTTTTTTTGTTTGTTTGTTTGTTTTAACTTTTTTGTTTGGTTAGTTTTTTGAGACAAGCTAGCCTGGACTTCAACAGGTAGCCCAGGCTACACTTGAACATGTGATCTTCCTGCCTCTGCATTTCAAGTGTGGGGATTACTGGTCTGTACCACCCTGGCTCTAATTAATAATGTGTGCGTGTGCGTGTATCCAATCCCTAGGAGCTGGAATTAAAGGCAGTTATGAGCTGCCTGATGTGGGTGTTATGAATCAAACTCAGGACATCCATAAGAGTAGTACACCCTCTAGCTAAGAATTTTTAACCTAAGAAAAACAGCTATCCTCTAAAATAACTTCTTCAAAGTAAAAGGAAATAGCCAGACTCTGGAGAGGTGAACTCACATGATCCAGGCACTGGCTCCATCTAGTGGACAGCTTGTACTGAAATAATAACCTCACCCAATGTTCTTTCTATAGCTCATTAGAATCTGTTAAATGACCAGGATCTGCCACATAAACTATCCAGATTGAACAACAATTATTAGAGGGAGGTGACAGGGTTTGAACTACTGTCTTTTATCTATAGGGTGATTACAAATGGAGCTGTCTTCTCCTTGATTTTCATTTACATAAAATACCTTCTTTCCTGGTGCCAAGACTCTTGGCCCAATTACTTTCCTTCTATCCCTTATAGCAGGCGAGGTTATGAGACTAAGTAATGGCCAAGGGACTTTGAATACATGTTATAAGGAAGTTCTTAGAGGAGTGCCCTTGCTAAGTGATGACTATGTCTCCTTCTCAACTCCCTCCTGCTGTCTGATCCCCGACATCCAGGGCTCCTAACCCTCTAATCTCCCATGAGCCATTTCCCAAGTTACAGGATTGCAGGTCTATGCCATGCCTAGCTGAAAATTAAGAATTCAATTCAAAATAGAACAATAACAAAAAAGCTCCAGTACTCCAGAAGGAAGAATGATGGCCCCAATGGTCCTGAGGCAGGAAAGACTACTGCCAGCCTGTTCAATCCCACATAAATTCAGCCCTACCCAATGACTGCATCCTGGGAATAATTCTACACCACTCTTTTTGTCACTGAAAGCACATCAAGTAATCAGTCACCATCATCTCCACTGGCTCTGGCCATCAGAAAAGAGGGATTCTACCATGCTCTATGAGTACAGAGGTCTTCAAGAGAACAGGCTATGGCATGGAAAAGCCACATTGGCCTTGAGAATGAAACACTTATACATACAGCTGTCCATCTTTCCGGGTATAGAAGCTGACTGATTTGATGGTTGCCACGACTACCACCATGCAGAGGGTCACGGGAACAAAGAGCATGATGACATGCTTGGCTCCATATTTCAATGTCAGCTCTTCATCTTCTTCCTCATCTTGTTCCACCATCTGCCGTGAGTGATTCTGGGGTCGACCATTAGATATGGGCTCAGGGTTGTCAAGTCTCTGCCTGTCATGGTGCTGTTGCCGTTCCTGAATGTCATTCTATAAGCACAAGAAAACCATTCAGTAAATCAGACTCTCAGCACAACCAAGGCATTCTGCAAAAATTACACCTAGGATTAATAGTAATGGGCCATCAATACTGAAGTTTGAAAAATATGAAGCAAAAAAGAAGCCAACCTATATAGTGTACTGTTCTTTTTAGGCTTTCTCAGTGTAGCCTTGGCTGTTCTGGAACTCCCTCTATAGACCAGGCTGGCCTTGAACTCACAGAGATCCACCTGCCTCTGCCTCTTGAGTGCTGGGATTCAATAATAAGACCTTAAAATATATGCAGTGATGTTCAAGATATCTCTCTGCATCGAAAATATTTAGTTGAAATAAATTCTCCCAGCCAGGCATGGTGGCACACTTGGGAGTTCCAGACCAGCCAGCATTATGCAAAGGAACCCTGACTCAAAACAAAACAAGCAAGCAAGCAAGCAAGCAAGCAATCTCCCGGACAGCAAATGACTTTACACAGTTCTGACATTGTGTCCTCACCTTCCCAACCTTCACGGAGCCTAATGCAGTAGGGAGGGAACATAACACCAGATGAATGGACGATGAGTTTAAATCTTCGTAAGATCCCACTTTCCTTAGTTAAACCCAGGGCCATCTTGTTATGTCATTCCTAGTCTACGCTTAGGTTTACTGGCCCATCTTTGTTTTGTCTGTGATGCTGGGGACTGAACCTAGGGCCTCATAGCTGCTCAGCAAGAGCCCTGCCATTACCCAGCCAGTCTCAACTCCTGACTTTACTGTACTTGTGCGTGTCCTGTGTGCATGCACGCGTGTGTACAGGTACACACTTGGGTCATCAGGCTTGGATGCTTGTGCCCTTATCCAATGATCCACCTCATTGACCCCTGGCTTTATTTTCTTATTTTTCAAATATTACTTTTATTTTGGTATTTACTGTTCATTGGCTAAAATTTAAATTGCGTCAATGGTAAATGAAGACAAAAAGCAACAAAGCTAGTGAGATGGTTCAGTGCAAAGGCACTTGTTAGCAAACCTGATAATCTAAATTCAATTCCCTGAAACCATATGATGCAAGGAAAGAGCCAACTCCCACTGTGAATCTAATCACTGCTGGTAAAGGCAGGTGATTAAGCTAACATGTCTCAGGGTGATGATTTACTAACAAGCTACCCGCAAATCTAAGTTCCAACTACAGATGTGACCTTTACTGTGGAATATCACAGCCACTCATTAAAAACACATTCCGTGGGAAAGGAAAGGGCCTGCCACCCACTGAAGCAAACCCGACAACCTGAGTTTCACCCCTGGAACTCATGTAAAGGTGGAAGAGAACTGACTCTACAACACTGCCCTCTGACCTCCACAGGCATGCCAAGCTTTGCAAGCACGCGAGCACACGCACGCACGCACGCACGCGCGCCCGCACGCCCGCACGCACACGAGTAATAATACAGTCCACATTTAATAACAGCCTTCAAACTTGCAATTCTCCTGCCTCAGCTTCCTGGATAATTAGAATTACAGGTGTGCCTCACCACACCCAGCTCAGAGTCTAGAGCTTGGTGATTTCAGTGTTGCCGAAGCAGAGTACCTGGGAGGAGTAAGATCTGCTTGCTTAAAAATTCCTCCTCTGAAACAGGACTATGACATTTACATGCCCTTTAATTTTCGGCCCCTCTACTAACGACACTTCACAGGTGAGGGAACAGACACAGCTAGTGAGTGTCGGAGGGTCTGAATCCAGGTCAGCCTGCCTTCACAAGAAAAGTTCTCACAATCTGCCTCTGAGAAACAACCTGGGAGCTTGAAAGACTGCAAGAAAGGTTTCTCTTGTATTTCACTTACAACATAACCATTTGTGGGGGTCTGAATGAAAATGTCCCCATGGGCTCAGATGTTTGAAACTTGGTCCCCAACTGATGGTGCTGTTTGGGAGATTTAGGAGGTGCGGCCCTACTGAAAAGAAGTCATTAGGGGTAGGGTTTGGGTTTTTAAGAGTCTCTCCCTTCCCAGTGCACGCTCTCTGCTTCCTGTTGCAGCCACCATGGTTGTCTGCTGCTATGCTACCCTGGCACGGTGCTGATGGACCAAACCTCTGGCAGCATAAACCCTTCCTTCTACGCGTTACCGTGGTCACAGTGTTTTACCACAGGAACAGAAAGTAACCATGATACCATTCCACAAGCAAGCAGATCTTACTCATCCCAGGTACTCTGCTTCGGCAACACTGAAATCACCAAGTTCTAGACTCTGAGCTGGGTGTGGTGAGGCACACCTGTAATTCTAATTATCCAGGAAGCTGAGGCAGGAGAATTGCAAGTCTGAAGGCAATTTGGTAAGACCCAGTCTAAATAAAACTTTAAAAAGGGAATGTATCTCTGTGGTAAAGCAGTACTCATTATGACCAAGGCCTTAGGTTCAAATCCAGTGCCATAAATAGGGTCCTGGCTCTAAAGACTCTGCTCTTAAAAAGTTTCTGCTGACTTTAGGGACAGGTTCTAAGAAACTTTATTTGCTCTATCAAGGACTTGAGACTTTATCCTGTGAGCAATACAAAGTCATAAAGACTAAAGCACATGTGTGCACTCACATAGTAATAAATTTAGAATATAGAAACTAGGCTTCTATTTTCCCAGAGAAGGAAGTGATCAAGCCATCAGCTAAAAACTGTGAAGTCTGTGTCTGGCAATATAATTCTAACCAACCTGATGGGTTAATGGTCACCATGAACTAAAATAGGTGTGACTTCCTCGGCACCACAGCCCTAGCATCAGTCTGTATGAACAGTTTAATTATGCTAAAGCTGACATGACAGGAGAGATCAAGCACTCACTCCTGTACTGGATATTCTGGCTGATGAAGAGTATGATCTACCCCTGCCCTGTTTCAAGCTGAAAATGGCTTAGGAGAGAGCATTGTTTAACTTAGCAGTGGATAATTGTGTTCTCTCTCTCTCTCTCACACACACACACACACACACACTCACTCTTACACTTTCACTTAGCCCCCTTTGGTTATATTTTCAACTTTTAGAAAGGTACAATGTATTTTTGTAGATGGATGTTTTTCTCCTGCCAGCCAATTCCCAAATTACAAATTACCACACTTATATTAATTGTAAACACTTGGCAGATAGCTCAGGCTTATTACTAACTAGCTCTCTTATTTAAATTAATCCATTTCTATTAATCTTAGTTTTGTCATGTGGCTCATGGCCTTACCTGTCCTCTAGCACATCTTGTCACACGCACGCACGTGCCCTCTGCTAGCTGGCATCTCCCCTGATCCTGCCCTTCTTCTCTTCCTTAGTCTGGTTTTTCTCACTAGCCTTATCCTGCCTGGATACTGGTCAGTCAGCTTCTTTATTAAACCAATCAGAGCATAATTTACAGTGGACAGAATTATTACACAATATTTTAAAGGTTAAATGGTTTTTAAGTAAGAAAATAGGAAAAAGTATACATCCGGTTTCTCTATTCCTTTCTTAAGATTAAGGTCTCCCACTGGTTGGTGGTACACGCACACCTTTAATCCCAGTACTAAGGAGGTAGAGGCAGGAGGATTTCTGGCACCTAATGTGGGGCCCAATTTCCACACAGGGCCTGAGAAAGCTAGAAAAACAAACAAAAAGGGATACAGCTCCTATAGGAGGTGCTGCCGTGCAGCAGAGCTCTTGAACAGCTAAGCAGCAACCGCAAGCTAAGTAAAAAGACCCACCATACTTCCTAAAGCCACACCAACTTCCTAGAGCTGGGGCGGTTGAATGCAGCTCTCGGTTAAACATGGCTTCTAGTTAAACAGACTCTAACAGACCTGAGGAGGTGGCGGACCCTACCTGCCAGAGCCAACAGGTGGAGGGCAAAGCTGCCAGTTAGCAGTTTAAGGTTTGTTTGGCTCACGAGGTCTAGATACTTTAAAAATGGAAGTCAGAAAATGTACTGAGTTGGGGGAGAAGTTATGCTTTTGTTCCCACAGGAAATGAAAGGCTGTGGATTCCTTCAAAATCAATAGAGGCTAGATTGAAGGGGGAGACTCCCTGAATATCTTGGCTATGACATAAAGAAATAAACCTAGCTGGACAGTGGTAGTGCTTGCCTTTATTTCCAGCACCTGGGAGGCAGAGGCAGATGGATCTCTGTGAGTTCAAGGTTAGCCTGGTCTACAGAGTAACAGGCTGTCTTAAATGAACCTGTCTTAAACAAACGGGAGTGGAGGGGAGGAAACACACTAGAAATATTACAAGACAGGTGACGTATATGCTGATCCTTTGACATGGGAACAGCTCTGAGACTGGATGAGACATAACAGATCCTGTTGGCTGCAGAGTCCTCGTGACTTATTATTATTACATGCAAACCTTTCATATGGCATGGATAGAGGTTTGGTTATACAGCCCAAACAAAAGTTATAAAGTTGACCGATACCTGCTCAAACATAAAACAACATCAAAAAAAAAAAAAAAAAAAAAAAAAACCCAAAAAAACCAAAACCAAAAACAAAACAAAACTTTGGCTGGCTTGTGTATAATGCACAGTCCATATTTGTGTTAATGCAGATATGTATGTTATCTTTCAAAGTTTGTGTGTTTTCAGAGCAGGGGGACCGGGCACCCCTGGAAATTGGTGGCTCAGGTGTTCCAGCTCTTGCAGCTTCCTCAGAGTTTTGTGTTCAGAACAACATCAAGGCTGCTAACTGGGATGGTCCAGCCTCACAGACTATTCTAGCCAGGACTTCAGATAAGCCTATGCTTTCCCATTACACTGAGACTGGACAACAAATGTTATAGTTAGTTTTCTTAGGACTTGACCATTATCTCAATTTTCTCAGGGTCTCCTGGGGATGTCACCTCAGACAACAAGTAGTAGTCTAGAGAACACAGTAAATACATTCCCAAGAGGTAGAATGGGTGGGTTTTGGACTTTTGGTACCTTATGAATGTCTAGTGGGGATATAGCAATTATAGGATAAAAAGATAACTATTCATCTCAAATATTTTACATTGGTATGGACTTTTGTAT